TTATAGTGTTTTATCGCGTATTAAAGAGTTGAAACAGACTCTAGAAGCTAAATCGACATATTCGAGTTTATTCGAGTATTATTAAAACCTTGAGATGTGCAAAGGAATATTTCGAAGTATGATTCTATATATTTAATGTAGGCACTTTTCACCATTGTGTTTAGATTTTTTTATAATGTTTTATTTATCAAGATAGCCGGACTCTTTTATTCTTCTCGCGATTTTAAAAGTAGAATATGAAAATTCTTGATATATCATGAAAATTTATGAAAAGATATTTCTACAACATATCTACATAAATCAAAAGTAGATGTACTTGCAAATAATGTATTCTATTTTTTATTGTGTTAAATAAACGATGAGACTAATTTTTAGCGATAAGCAAATTATCAATTCATTTCTTAGCAACTCATCTTGGAATTTTTCGCGAACTTTGTCGCAATTAATACTATACGATACATAAACTTTTTCTTTAATTATTACTATTAAATTTTTTCAAATGATAAAAGAAGACAAAAATATTAGCGAATTCATCTTTGATATATACTCGTAGATGAGTACAAAACTATCTGATTTTGCTTTCTCCCTATGCAAGAAAATAATTCGACTTGACCCCCATTTTGCAAAACGTTCTTTTTCTTCCTCGAAATAAAATTAACAGTAAACTAGTCTCGTTTTTCACTCGCCCTAACAGCACACATAATCCCGAAAACGTTCAGAGAACTGATCCTGAGGATGTTCGAATGTCCTCTGGATATGGTGTGCTATTAAGGTCGTGATAAAAATCGTACTAGAAAGATAAATATTAAATATATTCAGATTTTTTTAAATCTCGATATATATATGTATACATTTCAGTAATATTTAATTATTATAAATATATTGCAAGTTCTTTATAAGAAGCGAGAAAACTGAAATTACTTTGTTCCATAGGTATACGTTTGCTATCGGTAACTTCAACATTTTTTCGGCCGAACGTGAGAAAATTGAGAAACGAATTGCTCGTACGTAAAAAGCTCACAGGGAGACGACAATTATCCCGTGCTATTTTTAGACCCCGAAGTCGTGGATTACGTTTCCATTATTTCGAAAGTTTCCAGAACCATGGAAATACGAAGAGTGTTGCATTTCCTATCCTCCCATGATGGCTGACAACGTCTCACCCCGTCCCACCCCATCCCGCGTGCAGTTCTCTCTCACAAAAGCGACGGGTCCAGAAGGACGAGCCTAGTCTAACCTAACCCTTACTTAAGCTCCCTTTTACACTTGGCGGCCATGTTGCTTCGAGGGTTGGGCCACCAAAACGTCGGCGACTCATTGGCCGCGAGAAGAGGGAAAAGAGAGAGAGAGAGATTAGCGAGAGAAAGAGAAGAGAATCTCTCCACTTTCGTCTCGCTTCGTTTCTCGTTCCGTCTCCCTTCCTTCCGTTTCACGCTCTCTTTATCCAACAACCCCTATAGCGCGTTTCTCCGTCCTTTTCCCCAGGTTTCGCTCCGACCTGACGTTCTTCGTTCTTCTCGTTCTAAATTCCGTTCCTGTCCTTCTACCTCCCTTTCTCCACCCCCTGTCCCCCATCCACCCCCCTTGGCGTCTCGCAAATTCCGCCACACTATCTCGCCGCCAGTCTCTCCGCGACGCGGTAAAGTTAGGTTTATTTTTTATTATTCCTCATGTTTGTCGGACATGTCCAGAGGCATCCTTCGACCATGCGACCCTTCGCGTTTCTTACCTTGGGGCTACGTGAAATTTATTTCGCAAGTTCGATGTTCTAGATATCGCTGCACGAGGAGGTTCGCGAGGGGAAGAAACTTTGCATTTGTCGCACACGACATGCTCGGTACATGCTTGGTTCATGGAAAAAAGAGAGTCTCGAATTATTGCCCTTTGCATATTTTACGCATATTTACGTAGTACGCCGAGATTTTACGCGAATTTAATTACTTAAATGAGCGATAATATCTTAAGTGTGTCTGTAATTTGTATATGTATGAAGCAGTCAAAACGATTACTTAATCTGTCTGAAACAGTATATTTTGCAGTCAATGTTGTTTATGATATTGTCGTGACCATTTTGTTGCGAAGAGCGAAAGGGGCAAAATTAATATATTTTATCTAATTTGATTTAAGACAATTTTACTACAAATAAAGAACAAATTTCAAATATCATCTCTTCGTTGCAGCGAAGAATTATCGTATTATCATTGTTTTCAGTAAATATTTCTCAGAAAGTTAAGAATGGTGTTAAAATATATATAATTACTTATTAACTTGAAACGTTTCCAATATTAGTCTGGTATATAAAACTGCATCAAATTAACTTTTCTTAATTTCACAGTAATTTTTTTTAACTGTAGGTAATGTATATCATTAAAATTACAAACTGTGTTAGATGACATTTCAATTTTTATTTCTCTTCCCGAGTCTATCGTCATTAATTCAATTATTATTCAATTGTAGTCTAGGATTGTAAAAAAGTAAGAAACTGCTTTGCACAATATAATGGAAAAATTAGATGATATATATAGAAATGATACCGGTCATTCTGGAATTTTTAAGGAAGCCTATTATCTGTACGAAAGAACGTTCAGAATCTACTTAATAAGTTTGTGCGATAATAAATTAATGAACTCACCTGTTATAACGTAACTTCTTGAAGTAGCACTTTGAAATATCTTGGAGATCTTATTTACTTTGAACACGTTCGTTGACTGATGAAAACTGAGGGACGTTCAGCTTGCTCCAGTTAAAAATGTGAAATTTTCACCCCACCATTTTACCTGGTCCTTTTCTCAGGAATTTTTCTAGTTTATCGCATTCGGCCGCTTTCTCTAACTCTTTCGTCGATTTCGTTCGATTTGTGAAAAGTTTCGTTCTGTTGCGGATTATATTCTTTTAACCCTTTTTAACCCTTTTTATGAATGCTCTAAAAGAGAAAGTCTGTCATAAGTTAGTTTTTATGCAACTCGAACAAAGGGTTGTTTTGAAAATATTATTCTTGAACTAATTCGTTTCGTCTCGAAGAAAATTTATTATTAATAAACCTTGTATTTTATAATTGATTTATGACATATACATAAATCTGATTTTTAATATTATGCTTATTCTTTTTTATTTTCATATGCAATGAATGAATAATGTATGTCTGTTGTCTTCTTGTATGCACACTTAAAATAAGTATATAATAGTTATTGTTTTTACATTTTACAAACTAATTTAGCTAATATTTTATTGTTATGAACATTTTTACATTTAGACCGACTAAAGGTATTTTGTAAATAAAAGAAAAGAAACATTTTATTTCTTATGTAAATGAAGCATACAGGTTTCATAGATTTATTGTTCTTTTAATAAATCTGCTAAAAGTTAAATAATAATCAGATTCTAGAAAAAGAGACAGAAATATTAAAAGAGGAGAGGTTTCTAAATTTGTTAAATCGATGGAAATAAAGATGAAGAAATTGAATAAGAATGTTTTTCTGATAATTATTTATTTAATTGGAAAGTAAAAGAAAATCGTTAAAAAATATTTTTTAATTTGAAACATTTATCATACGATTGTTTGAACTGCTTGGATCCATTTCACTTAAATGAATATAACATTTTCTTCTATATATCTGAACAACGAAATAATACTGTTTATATATTCTATTTTTTTATATTAGAGATACATATTATTAGAAAGAATAATTTTATTCTTCCCCCATTTAGAATGGGATTTAGAAAGGGATGAGATTTTACAGTTTTGATAGACTAGATATAGTCAACACACACAATGTTTCGCAAATGTGAAAATTATTTAATACAAATATAATATAAATAATTTTGAAATATATATAATTTATTGTATATAATTATGTGTAATATTAATTTTAAAAATACATATATAACAAACTTTAGTAAGCGAGAGTAAAAAGTCAACATGTCTCATTTGAAAGAAAGCTGTATAAGCGATTAAAAATCTAAACTTTTTATATAAATTTTCTTTAATTCAATACAAATGTGTGCGCGTGTGTGTACACAACAAGATGTATACATGTATGCTTACAAACTTAGACACATATTTCATTCTTCATTAGTCTCATTCAAAAAGAATTATATATGACTATGATCTTCTAAACTATATTAATTGTCACGTATGCAAAGTATGCATGAAAATGAGATATTTAAGCAAAGAGCGTCAATGGAAAAAAAAATTTATAACTTATTCAAGATATACGTCGCGATTTGTTAAGCATTCTGTGTTTAGACAAGCTCTGTTTATATTGTAGATTCATATAATAGTATTCAACAGGGATAAAAATGATTAATACTATCAATTGTTCGTACGGCAAAGTTTAATCTTTACATGTGTAATATAAAATATAGGTTATTCTGTAAACTATTTATTAGCTTTATCTTTATAAATCGATTAAAAGAGAATGCAATATTTATTTTATCATTGAAAAATAATTCAAGCTTCTTTCGACTACGAGAAAGATTGACATACGTATCGCATGGTCAGGTAATATCATAAATATTTAGTCTAAAGTGATGGTGTTATAAACATAATTGGTACTATTTAAAAAAATATTTTAAACGTATAAACATATATTAATATTATATCTATATAATGATTATATAGATATATAATTACACTATATCTTTTTATTGATACACTTTATACAGTTAATCAATTCGTGTAAAAGTCTATATGGAAACGTAACTCTATTGGAAGATTATATTAAATATATCTTAGTGTAAGTAAATGATATTATATTTGTTAAGTAGATAGATATTTCTGACACATTTTAGATGAATAAGTATATATATCTTCGCTCTTATTTATTTTTATTTCTATTTACGAATTATTCTCTAGATTCTTAAGATTCTATATTTTATAGCAGGAAGACTAATGATATTTGGGAAATTGCGCCGATGAAGAAATCCAGCGTTGTTCGGTGTAGCCTCCTGTTACGTATACTGAAGGTATACCGGACAGGAATACACTCAGGATACATTCAGTATACGTACAGGGGGTTTCACATTCCTCAACAGTTACCACCTCGTCCACTTCGCCAAGGATGTCAAGGTTGATAAGATTGACGGTTATCTGGTATAGTAATTTAACGTTTCTAACATCTTCTGGAACTGCTGGCAGATGACGTCGATCGTTGCTATCTCTCCTCCACTCTTCCATTCTAGAGAGCCTGATGAGAGGTAAAATTTTGGATTAATTTCTCTTAATTGAAGTTATGAAGAAATATCTAATATCATAATTACACATTCTCTCACCGTAAACAATCCTGATCGCGGATAAGGCCCAATTCAATCCTAGGCGTAGAGTATAAGGTGCTTCTCATCGAACAATCGTTGTTGATAAGGCAAGTAATCTTGCAAATCCAAATTGAAAGCATCGTCTTCGAGCACCGTCAGGAGTCCGGACGCGTTTCATCTTTTCATGGCGGTGTCTCACCTACGGATACATAAATAATATTCGAGTTATTAATGGCTATTGAATGTTGGAAGAGAGATCGACTGAAAGACTTGAATCTCAGAGTTCCGCGGGGCTGAAGATCAAAGATTTATTTAACGCGTTCGTAAAAGGATCCCGTGTGAAAGAAAAGAAAAAGGGAAGAAAAAAGAGAACGGTGACTAATCGGTCATAAAAATATCTCATCGTTCTGCAACCTGCGATATGGAACCCTATGGTTCACGAAAACCAAGCGGAGCTTGGAAGCCCAACGTGCCGGGGTGTCGGACCGGTTGCCTGCAGTTTGGGCTACATCGAGATGTAAGGCATCTCTCTCGCGTGACAATCGATCAATATCTATCTACATAAGCCACTAGCATGCACATTAAACATTACATATGTTTACGCGCGTAATCGCGTTTTGTAATATATACACATGTGATGTAGAAATATTCTCTCATTGTCAGAAATATTCTCTTATTGACGAAGAAACAAATTCGCAGGTATACTGACCTCTGATTGATGTTATTATTTATGTTTCCGCCCGTATCTCTTTCTCCCTCCCTCTCTCTCTCTCTCTCTATCTGTGGTCTGGCAAATTTCTCAAGAGGGGGCATCTTTCTCACACGTAGATCGATCCTATTCGTCAACTGAAACCAACCGATATGTGAAATCTGATGATCCTTCTGAGATATATGAGCACCGCACATTGAGGGCTTCGAAGGGCATTCGAGGGTTTTTTTTCGTTAATCACAGAAGGCACTCCGATTCCGTCCTCACGACGTACGAGAATGACAGCTCCGCTCGGTCTACATGCTACGAGTGACGTTCACAGCAGCGGATGAGCTCGGTCCCTTTCGTTCGCCGAGTCGTGGACAAGAGCGCTCGACGCATCTCCGAGGAGGAAGAGAGACGGAGTGAATCGAGCGAGAGACGGAAATGGGGGAGGACGCGAGAGGAACGGATAGAACGGGAAAGAATGCGCGGCTGGGGAACGAAAAAAATCGTCAAGAGGAGGCGCGACAGAGGAAGAGAGAGAGAGAGAGAGAGAGAAACAGAGGACGCGATGAAGTGACGTGTGCCATCCATACGTCAGACGGGACTCGGCGACTGGAGCAAGACGAGGAGACGCAGCAGCTGGATTATCGGCGTCCTACGGACGACTGTCGCGGCAGCGTTTGCACGTCACTCGCGAGAGAAAATCCTCGGGGGTCTCTTCAGGTGCTCCTCGCGGTGCTCTTCCGACCGTGTCCAGGAACGCGCTAAGCGAAGAAGCGGCTTCCTCTGACGATGGTTGGCGATGGTTGGCCGACGATGTCGTAAGAGAAGTAGCGCCGACCTCGCGACGCCGACGCCATGCGGCGTCGCTCTGCGCCCGGCCGCGTCCAGGGACGAGCCACGTCAACGTTGTGTGGGTTTTCACCACCGCACACACGAATGCATGCTACTCTTTGGATGCACGGGGGGTATATAAAGTCGGGGTGGATATATAGAGGCGACACGGGAGGGGCGGCTCTCTCTTGATAACGCGCAGGGTCGACCAACCCCTCTCGCTCCGTCTCTGTCTCCCCTTTTTGTCTCTACCTTCCTCCCTCTGCGAAAGCTCCCTCTCCTTGTCTCTCGCCCCGTTGCTCCTGTCCGTGAGAGCCCAACTTTTCCTTCTATCTCACACCTATTCTATCTAGGTTCCTCTCTCTGTGTATCTGTCTCTCCCTGCTCTCTCTCTCTCTCGTCCTTCTTGTCCCCTATTCCTTCGTCACCTACTGCTTCCCTCCAAATTGTTCCATCCTTTTTGTGCTTATCGGGATCGATCAATCCCTTTCTGTTACTCGCGCTCATCTAACTCCGTCTGTCTTTCTCTTTCCATCCACCCCGTGGTTTCTATCCGCTTTTCTCCCGTAAGAGGGTTTTCCTCTTTATCTTTCCTCGTCTATTTTGTCTCTTTCTCCCTCTCTCTTTAACTGCCCTCTCATATAATATCCTCTCTGTTTTTCTCGACGCTTAGTTTTGACGCTATCGCCCTTCCTTCGCAGCGAGCTGGCGTCGATTTGATTTCACCGCGTCTCTGTGTGTGCGATATCGCCTCGCTCCATGAGTCTCCCCACCATTCGCTGATTTTTTGCGTGTGACAGCGAGCTGCCATGAGCTTTATGCAACTCCCCATGGATCGGGAAACGCGGTGTAGCCTGGCGCCACCAGACGGCATCCACGTAGAAACTCCTCGCCCCTGAATCGTGACGTTTTTATTGGACAACGTTCTCTTTCGTAAGAGAGAGAAGGTATAAATATACTGCGATCTTCCTCCCGTACTTTTGTCTCACCTTCTCTCCTTTTCTCCCTCGTTCCGACTCTTTGTCTAGTATGCAGGTGGGTTACGACCTCACACATGAGTTTCCTGCAAACTATTTGCAATGGCGAAAATTATTAATTCGACAAGTAGTTGGTTCATGCACGTATACATCGTCAATCGAGAGGAATGGGTCGCGTGTCTGTGAGCTAGATCAAATCTGTATCGGTATTTAGAGAACGGTGAGTCAGATTTCTACACTCTTTAGTACTTCGAACAGCCGTTTTGTGTTAATAGAGCTCATTAATATATTACATAGAGCTGGTTTTTCCAACTTCTTGGAAGTAAGTTTTATCCGACAGGTAGCATATTTTCGCCTCTTTTCAGATAAGTTCTAAAATAGAGGCGAAGATATGCTACCTGTCGGGTCAAACTTACCAAGAAGTTGGAACAATCGGCTTATAATGTATGAAAAAAAAATAGAAATGTTTAGTTTTAATATTCTGTAGCTTGAAGAGATCATTGTTTGAGAGAGGCAAGATCAAAGAAATGCGATGATGAATTTAATTATATACGAATGAAAAGAAATTGTTGTATTGTTGTATCAATAATGTGGAAAGAGCTTGCAAACATTTATTGGTTAAGCTTTGTTCAATGAAAATCCGAGCTTCTCTAAATTTCGATTATTGACCTTCGTAAGGAATACCTTGCTAGCTGCTGCCATCTGTACAACACAATCCAAAACACTTGTTTACACACACTCCAACGTTACACATGTAAATATATACGGATGCGGCATGCAAGCATGCATACGTTAGAGTAATATAAGCGATGCTTCTGAGGAGAATTTAGCTGAAGAAACTGAGTGTTTCAATGATAATTTTAGGTTCTCTCGTTTTACATTCATTTGTCTTTTATTTACAAAATATATAATTGTTTTATTTAATATTATTATAGATTAGTCTAATGGAACCATCTTGACTATTTTATGATTTTTTATTGTTAACATTTCTATTTTTTCCTGATTTTAAAAAGTAACTTTAATCATTCAAAGGATCGAAAGAAAATTGATGAAGAAAGGATAAAAAAATATCTACAATATTTTAACGAGATATTTTTTAATTTTATGGCACATTATCGTTTATTTTAATATAAATGTATCATCTTTAGAGAATTTTTCTTAAAACCTATCGCGATATTAATTTTTCTATTAATACTTTGTACAATGTTAATTCAATGCCAAGTTTTTTATGCTAAAATTCATAAAGACACTAATTTATATATTTTATCATATTTTATGTACGCATATGTTTATCTTATTATATAGGGTATTTTGAACTTTTAAACGACTTATAAGGATTATATTTAAAATAATGTATTTATCGAAATTATATCAATCTTATTAAAACGCAAACATATTAATTTTAATGAATTTTCCAAACGAATGAAGTCAAAGTGCATCGATTCGCGAGTAAGAGAGTTGAATGGTATAATTATATCTGTCAATTTTTTCGTTTCTACGTTTTTGCCCGATTCTACGCCACTGTACATCTCGCGACTGAGATCCTAATATATGCAAAGGAATTCCGTGGTATCTAGTTAAGCGATACCGCATAAAGAAGCACGGCCGTAGGACGCCACCATGAAAATCCGAACTTAATCGTCCGGATCCCGTGAAAGAAAAAAAAAAAGAAACGAGAGCGAGGCCACCGACAGAAAAGTCGATCCTCCCTCGAGGCTTTAAGCGTGGGGAGGCTTTCGGGAGCCGATGTAGTCATAAGCAACGTGGGTACGCCAAAATCGGTGGCAATAACTTCGCACGCATCTCTCGGTAAACCGTCGTAAAATTGGAGAGCGAGCGAGAAGTAGGTTGCGAAGACAGGGATATGAGGGGAAGAGTATAATATATATATATATATATGTATATTAATGCGGAGTTTGATAATTAAAATAATGACTATGCGTTTATAAGAGACCGGAGGATCAGCTAGTTAATCCACAAAGCGTATACATTTGCGTATGATAGCTTTTCTACCAGCCCCGATATGATCGAGAGGGATTATTACGCAATTATTGTTGCAATTTCGGCGTTTCTCGCCTGGTCTGTAGTATAAGAGTAAAGTCTCGATTAGTATCTTCAGACTTTTAACATAATATTTATACTTGCGGCTATTTGATGAAAAAAGTTTGATTAAATATATTATAGTTGATTCATCAACTAATACATTTATAATATAGAAACATATATTTTAATATACATGTATATAATACATAATGTATAGGAAATTTTTCATTATAATTGTATGTGTGCATGTGAAAGAAATCATCAATCAATATTGGAAATATATATATATACGGATAGTGTAGAATTGATATATTTGTTTGTCTCATCATTGATTTGATTCATAGTTAAATGAAATGTTTTATTGTAATAGAAACGATTGCAATAATTAAAATAAATTAAATTGCCATATATTTTTCGAAACAAATGCAACGACATATATTTATCGGTATAATTTTACTTGAAAAAATAATCTTCACTCGCATATTATTACTTCATATAGAATAATATCTCATATCTCACTTTTTTCGCACTCACTTTTCTTAATTACATCTCGTTATATCACTGTGCACTCACAATCTTTAATTTTACTCAACCTATTCCGACAAAGAATGCTTTTGATATAGAAAATGTGTTGTACATTTATTTTTCAACTATTCTGCTAATATTACTTAAATATATCTACCTATATAGTGTGTATAATTGACATTATTCGATCAATTCGACTGTTCTCTATAAAATATAAAAAGTGAATAAAAATTAATTATTCCTACGAGACATTTACAACGTATAATATCAACGGTATAATATCACAATCGAAGAAGAGAGAAAGAGAGACAACGTACACAGGGTTAGCCTGGGCAGATCCGGTATCGCTCTGGTTCGAAAGGGGCGAGCCTGCCCGAGGCAGGCTGGAGGCAGCCCAGCAGCAGACAGGTTCGCACAGATGTGCGGCGGCCATCATGAATGCCTGTAAAATATGTATTCTCGCGCGGCCCGGTTGGTAAGAGAACAGAAAGTGGGGAAGGGCTGGCACAGTGTAGCAGATGAGAAAGAGCTGGTAGAAGGGAAAGGCGAAGTGGGGTTCAAACGTTTGGCTCGGCAAGGGAGAGGAAGAAAAACTGTCGGAAAAGAGAGAGAGAGAGAGAGAGACAGAGAAGAGGGTGCGGTGGGGTGAAACGGGGGTAAACGCATT